TCAAATCTCCACACTTCCAGCTGTGGAGGTGCTCTGAGCTTCCCTGTGTCTGCTGCAGTGAGGTACACTCCTGCTGGGGCTCAATCCCTCTCTCCATCACCACTGGCCCCCTAACACCCTCTCCGCTGCCACTCTGGCCCTGCCAGAGGCTCCCACCCCCGGGTGCTGCCCCCCTCCCCCCACTGGCTCAGAATCCAGTTTGGATCAGGTTCCTGCCCACCCCCTCAGCAGGGCAGCCTCTTGGGGAAGGGGCTCCTCCTACCAGCTCAAGCCCCCAACGTTACTCCATCGCCCTGTCTCCTAAACCTGGATGATCCACAATCACTGTCTCATCCACAGGACTGTCAGCACTGCAGGCTTTCAGCCTCCGCAGGGTACAGAATGTATGCATAGGAAAAGCTTTCAGGGTTCAGAGGTTTGTGCTGTGTGCTCTGCAGAGTGCTCTGGAGCTGGTTGTGTGTGTGTGTGTGTGTGTGTGTGTGTGTGTGTGTGCGCGGTGACACACTCAATGCTGGGGCCTTAGGCCCCCCTCGTATTTTGACCATTGAATCTCAAACTTTTTCCTAGGTTTTTAGTGGAGAGATTCCACATTTCAAATAAAATGATCCTTTTATTTTATTTTTTTTTAGAGAAAGAAAGTGTTGAATGCCGTGAAAACCAGACAGAACTCACTTTTCCTATAGGGAAACCAAGGATCAGAGGAGAAAACGGTTTTTCAAGGTCACAGTGAGGTCAGTGGCAGAGCTGGTACCATACCAGTCTGCCTGGCTCATAGGCTGATGTTTTTGCCAAGACCAGGCAGAAATGTGCCTCTCCAGAGGGCAGGTGGGATGGAGTGTCCAGAGAAGTGGGGTAAGGTCACAGCCTGCCCATACCTGGGGCCCCTGGGAAGTGCTGAGCAGAATAATGGCATTGAAAAGTTCACTCAGTCCTTTTTTTATTTTTTTTTTGAGGATTTCTTATTTATGCATACAGAACTGGGGTACAGGCCAGAGGTGTGGGCGGTGAGAAGATTCACCAGACACAGAGTGGGGAGTAGAACAGGCAGGAATACTGAAATACACTGCTGAGGGGAGCAGCAGGTGGGTCAGGAGAGGTCTGCTGTGCCAGGTGGGTCAGCTCCCTGGCCCGGGATCAAACTTGTGCTGCAGTGGCTGCTGACAGCTTCACGGTGCTGTACTTTAAGCCACTGCGCCACTAGGGAGGGCCCAGGTCACTCAGTTCTTAACTGGAAGCCTCAGGTTTTGGGGGGGGGGGCGCAGGGACAGGCAGAAAGAGGGAGGGAGGCAAGGGACAGCAGTTTATCCTCTGGGTGATCACTCTCCTGCCCCAATGCACCAGATGTCTTCCATCAATTTGAGATTGCTTCTAAATTCTTGCCCATCCCCCAAACACTTAAAACCTGGGGGCTGGGTGTTCCCGAAGTGGTGACTTCTGGAGTGGACGCATGTAAAGTGAAGGGGGTCAGGATTTCTGGTGTCAAGGGTCCCGTGGCCCCAGTGTGGGGGCTCTGGGGTGCTTGCTGTGTCTCCCTCCCCAACTCCCAGTGCCCAGCTGGCATCTGGGAGAATGGTGCTAACGGAATGGATATGTCCTCCCTCCCACAGCCCTTCCATAACCACCAAACTTCCCCACCCCATTGCCCTGTCTGTTAGGGATGACAAGGACTGAGTTATTCTTACTATGTTTCATTCATCCCATGACCAACCATGTCCTGGAGGGAATGCCTGGGAACAGTGGAGGCCCAGAGGGAACCCCAGTCAGAGAGGGAGACACAGGCCTACTCGCAGGGAGCCACATCCCACTCCTCCAGCTCCAGTGAGAGATCCAAGCTGAGGGGAGAGATCCCACATCTTGCACTCCTCATCTCATAGCAGAGAACCAGCTGTCATCCTGCTGGAGAAGACAGGCTCAGGATGAAGACTGAAACTCACCACAGAAAGGGAGGACCAGGGGGGTATCCAGAAGTAAGCGCAGCCACACATGGGGATCCTAAAGAAGGGCTCCACAGACGTCCAGAACACGCACTGCCAAGAATCATGCAGATGCCAAAGGGGTGGCATCAGTGCCCACTGTGGGCCTAGGAGCTGAGGGAAAGCGTGAAGGCACGTGCCAAGTGGGCGGCCTCAGCCAGGGGTCTCAGAGTCAGGTGTCTTTGGAGACCAGTGTGGCCACAATGGCCTTATCCACAGGGCAGGGCGAGCGGAGAGCCCGCGAGGTCTGTAGGTTCTCACATTCGATATAAAAACCACACACGCACACTGTAGGCCAAACAAATCCTCACTAAAGATTAAACTTGGTCCACGGCCACGTGTCTGCAACCCCCTGGACAGCAGGGAAGAATTCCTGATAGAGGAGAGTTTGAAGCCTGGTTTCTATAAAATAGCTGACTGTCATGTTCTGGCCATCACCTCTGGCTTTGTGATTTTAGGGTCCCCTCCCCCACTTCTTGGGATGAGGAACCCTAGTCATGCCTCAGCACCTCCCTTGTGACAGTTGTCCAGGGCTTCAGGTCTGTAATGGGGGATCTCACCTTTCTTTTAGGGAAAGGTAATTGGCTGTCGGGGGAAGGAGCTTGTGGGTTCTAAGATTACCCTGAAATGAACTAATCTGGCTGGAACCCTGGAGGCCTTCTTTGAGAGCCTTGACTGTTCTGTGACTCCTTTGCAAACTGGGGATACTGTTGCCGTGGGGTCCTCTCTATTCCTCCCCTGGACTGTTTCCAGTTGACCTCAGTATCTCCATAAAGGAAATGGGCCCCTGCCCACCGCTGAACCCCCCATCTCCCAGTCCCCTCTAGGACAGTAAATTTAAGAGAAGGAAGAGGCTGGCTTCGCGCCTTCCGAGCTCAGGGCGGCCTCTGCACCTCCGCACCTCGGCTCTCCCCACCCCAGGACCGGGTCTCTTAGCTTTCTCTTGAAAACAGTGGAGCAGTAGTCCCTGGGGGGGTGGGGGGGGAGTGGGGGAGGAATGAGGGGGGGCTGCAGGAGGTGGCGGCCGGTGGAGCCCTGTGTGCGTGCTCCTCGGGGCTGGGGACAGGGGACAGGTTCCTGGACCGGGGAGGGGCGGCCTAATTACGGAGCGTTGGCCCAGAGCCGCAGCGCGCCGCGGATGAGAGCAGCGGTGGGTAATTAGAGCGCATTAGCCGTGACCCTGAATCCTGTAATTTCTCCGCGCGCTCCGGGTGTGTTGTAGGAGGTGAAGCGACGTGGGCTCGGCTCTGAGTCAGGCTCTCGGAAGCCCGGGTGGGGACGCAGGGGGCGGCAGAGGCAGAGGAGAGAAGACTCCCGTCGAGGGAGGTGCCGGCGCCTTTCCCTGACACGGAGTCACCTGTCCCGGGACGCCTCGCCGAGCGCGCAGCTTCTGCGGCCAGAGAAGGGCGTGGCTAGGGGCGTGGCCCGCGCCTCCTCCCGCCTCCAGGGGGCGCTGCCCGGCGCAGAGGCTCCTGCCCTGGCGGAGTCTGGTCCCCTGCACGCAGCCGTGCGGCCTGCTCCCTGAGCGCAGGTGGAATTGAAAAAGGGATGCAGGTGCAACGCGCGAGGCAGAGACCCCGATTTCCATAGAGACAGGCAACTGACCTAGGACAGCGATAGACAAATAAACAGTCCAAGACCTAAGAAGGCAGTGGGATGCTTGCTGTCGTGGAGCGCTGAAATCATTTCTGGGGGAGCAGGGAGGAGCCAGCGGCGGGGGGTGGTGGTGGGGGAGAGGCTGGGAGGGGAGTTTATTTATTAGCCAGATTAGCTCGCATTAATGGGGGAGCAGTGGTGGCCAGCGGCGGTGGGGACATTGCTGGCATAACTGGCATAGCGGCGGGACCTCCTGCAGCGCGGAGCTCTGGCTGCTTCAAAGGGGCTTAAAGAGGCCCGTGGTGGCACTGCCACGGCCCCACGGGGGAGGGCGTAGGCGCGGGCGGTGGGGGAGAAGGCGGTCATTGTGCAGGGGGGGGGGGGATTAGGGATCTGGCCTGGAAGGAATTTTAAACTGCTAGCCGGTGCCCCCTCTCAGCCACTCCTGCGCTCCAGAGCAGAGCACGGAGAGATGCACCTGAATTCCCGTGTCTGGGGTCTTCCCGCAGACTGGCGGCATCTAGGGTTACCACCAGATTTGAGAAATAACAATACAGGGTGTCCAGTTAAATTTGAATTCCAGACAAAGATGAAATATTTCTTTTAGTAATAAGTATGATGCCAATATCATATGGAATGTATTTATACTAAAATAGTAAACTATTCATTGTCTATCTGAAATTCACACTTAACTGGGTGTCTTTCCCCCTCCCCCACTCTGGCCGCTTGAAAGGCACCACAGTGTCTAACCTGAGTCTGCAGCTCATTGGAGGTACCAGGAAAATTCAACTGGGCTTGTCTGTAACCTTAGAATGCAGGATTCCTGAAGCGTGTCCGCGTTTCACCCGCCAGAATACAGCGCTGAAGGCAATACGTGTCTCGTCCATTAGACTAGGAGTTTCCTGAGGACAGGGGCTGGATTTCACCTCGGACTAGAGCTGGAGGTCGTCTGAGTCTTCTCATCAACTGAGGTCGCCCGGTCCCCTTTCTCTCAGGCAGGTGCAGCCCCTCTCCCAGGGATGAAGCCTCCTGCCCACAGGGGGCGCTAGGGGCTCAGAGGTCTAACCGATAACAGTTGGGTCATGTTTATGGGGACTCAGGGCTGCAGGTTCTCTGGGTTGATGTTCTTGGAGGTCTGGGAGAGGGGCCACTATTCCATGTAGCTCCTAACCTGGTCCTGGCCGCTGCCCCTCCAGAGGTGGTGGCCAACAGGTGGAAGAAGGTTTGAGTCTGGTTTCTGCCAGGAAGAGATGGTCCAGCCCTTGGTGCAGATGGGTCCCATCCATCTCCTCTGCCAAAACCATGGCAGCAGACCTCCGCCATCATCACTAAATCCTACTGTGCAGCTTCTGCTTGTGCTGTTCTCACCCTGAAGCACCCTTCCTGTCCCAGAGGACAGTAGTCTTGCCACTCTGGTGCTCTGACCTTCAGCTAGGTAGATATGGCCAAGTAGGCTGCTTGTGTCGGGGTGTCTTCTGGGGGGAAAAGCCCTCCATGTACTCCCTCCGACCTCACCAACTTGGGCCACGGGACCACAGGGGGGTGGGTAGAGATGGAAAGGTGGGGGAAGTGGAGGTGGAGGGAGAGCAAGGAGTCTCTGTCACTAGCTCCTCCCCCTAACCCCCCCCCCAGCCCCTTCCCAAATCCCTTCATCCCCAGGGGCCTCTGAACTCTTTTTTTTCTTGAAGCCAAGGGAAGTCCTGTAGAAGCCCTTTCCCACGGTCACAGCCTCAAACACCCCCACCCCCTTATCCTTTGGCCACTGCCACCTCAGCCTCCGCAGAGCCCACCCTGTCCCTGCAGGGCCCCCTCCTTGGGTCAGGGCTCTGGTTTCCTCCAGTGGCATCATCACCCCACTCTTCAGGCTGCCCAGTCATCAGGTCAGCAATTAGCTACTTCCTCTCTGCTGCATGAGGCCACTGAACGTCACAGCCCCTCCCTCAGCCAGCCCCTCGCAGGGAGTGCTGGGGGTGCCCCCTCCCTTTGTAGTCAGTGCCAAGTCCCGGGGCGACCCCCCCCCCAACCTACTGAGCGCTGGGATAAAGAGCCTCTCATCTAGGGAGCTCAAGCTCCCTGCACTCTTGGGGGCGGGAGAAGCCGCTCTGCTGCCTCCTCTCCCCCAAGTCACCCCACCCCTTTGGGTGAGGACACTCCTGCTGCCTGGGTGGGGCCATGCTGGCTCAAGGGCACCTGTGGCCCAAGTGGATGGAACTTAAGCTTCAGGTGTCACTGTAGCTAGTCAGAGGCAATCTTCACCATGCTCTCACCTGGGGTGACCTGAGGATGATGGCAGTTATTTGGAAAGGAGGGGAAATGGGGAGTTACTTTACAGACACCCAGCATGGAGAGGGTGGACTCTTGATGATCCTTCACACTGGCTCATGCACTCATCTCCAGGCATAGTCTCAAGTACAACCGGTGCATGCATGTCCCACACAGCTCTGCCCTCCCGTGCCCCTGGTGGGCACACCCATCTGGAGGTTCGCCCAGACATCCCCTCCTCCAAAGGGTGCACACAAACCCACTGGCATACTCACAGATAAGCTAACTGCCACGCTGCCAACAGCCAGACCCTGCAGTGTCTGGTAGAGGACAGGAGAGACTACCTCCTTCTTCCCCACCCCCAATCCGACTAGCCCCGGGAAACTGGGGAAGTATGGGAGGGACTGCATTTTGGGGGGGGGTAATAATGGGCAGGTGGGGGCAGTGGCAGATGCTGTGACTGAGTGTGGAGGAGGGTGTAGATTTGTCAGAGCGAATAAGAGAATGCCAACAAACATAGGCAAAATATGTCATCTAAGGCCTATTATTTAACTCCTCTGGGCCTCAGTGATAGAGTCTACGGAATGGGACCGATGAGAGCACCATGTAAACCTGGCTGCAAACCTTCAGTGAGGTAACTGCCTCAGAGCGGTGCTTGAATCCACGTTACCACTGAGAAGCTCTCCCGGGTCCTGTCACCAGCTGCTGGGTTAGCCTAGAAACGCCGCTGTCCTCGCGCTGTGCCTTACCTGGCCGCATGCTTGGACTGTCTCTGTTTTCAGAGACGTGGCAGGTGATTGGGCACTTCTCCGGATTGGCCTGGGCCGGGCCTGGGTGGGGCTGGCTGGCTGCCCCGCCCCTACCTGGTTGGCACAACAGGTAGCTAGATGCTGGCAGGGATGAGTCAGCCAGTGCCTACCAGTCCAGGCAAATGGGGCGCAGGGAGCTGGGTGGAGGGGCCTTCTAGGAATGTCCCTGGAAGAGAACCTGAGAGGAGGTGCTGCCTTGGGAGCTACTGCCTCAGCCTGTTGCACGTCTTCAACTCAGCAGACAGTCTTGTTCTGGCTTCTCACTGTTCTTCCACCTAATTCATGAGGTGAGATCCCAGGTGCCTACCTGGGCTAGCCCCAAGTACCTCTCTAGCCACAGCAGGGGGTCAGGTCTGTTGCACCATGCGGCCCTTCCACCCTTCGCAGCCTGTCGAGCCAGGTGTCCCAGCCATAGACACAGAGCACATGTCCGCACACACTCATCCACGTGTCCACGCCCAAGTGAGACCAGCCAGAGACACTGAAGCAGACACATCACGTTCTCCACACCACACACAGTGTTCCCTCACACTTACTCCCCTCTGCCCTACCCCAGAGTCACTACCACTGCCACTGGCTACATTGTGTTCCCCACAGATATGTTAACACTTGGCCACCCAGTGTCTGGAAATACGACCTTTGTTAGGAACTGGGTGTTTGGCCCTTCCTGGTGGCACAGGGGGTTAAAGCACAGCCCCCTGAAGCCGGCTGCATCTGCTTCTGTGGGAGTTCGATCCCCACCCAGGAGCTGACCCACATGGCTCGACAGACCTCTCCTGACCCGCCTGCTGCTCCCCTCAGCAGTGCACTTCATTGATCTGCCTGTTCTGCTCCCCACCCTGTCTGTGGTGAATCCTCTCACCCCCACACCTTTGGCCTGTACCCCAGTTCTGTATGCATAAATAGATAAATCTTTTTTTTTTTAAAGATTTATTTATTTGTACATACAGAACTGGGGTACAGGCCAGAAGCTCAGGGGCGGCGAGAGGCTTCACCAGAGACAGAGTGGGGAACAGAACAGGCAGGTCGACGAAGTACACTGCTGAGGGGAGCAGTGGGCGGGTCAGGAGAGGTCTGCCACGCCATGTGGTCACCTCCAGGGCAGGCGGGAATCGAACTCATGCGGAAGCGGTTTTAGATTGTCAGTGCTGTGCTTTAACCCGCTGCGCCACCAGGGAGGGCCAATAGATAAATCTTTTAAAAAAATAAATAGGGGTAATCCCTATTTAGATGTAATCCAATTTAGATGAGAATTTTTTTTAATGGGTTACTGTGGGCTCTAAAGCCAATGACTGGTGTCTTTTAGGGAGATAGGAACTTGTAGGCAGAGAGACAGGGAGCCACACAGGGAAGGGGGCCATGTGACAATGGGGACAGAGATTAGAGTGATGCAGCTACAAGCCAAGGATTGCTGGTAACCAGAAAGCCAGCACATGGCTCTCTGGGCCACACTCTCCTTCAGAGGCTCCAGAGAAACACACCCACTTGACTTTGATTTCAGCCTGGCCTTCTTAATGGTGAGAGAATAAATATATGTTGTTTTAAGCCACCAATTCTGTCGTAATTTGTCATAGCAGCTGTAAGAAATTAATACAATCACACACACACACACTCACACACACACACCACTCACACATGCATGTGTACCTGACTTTATACTCCGTTTGGTGGAGTGCCGACCCCATCAACTTCAGCTTTTGGGGCTGCTGTGTCTCTATTCTCCTTCTCTGATGGATCCAGAATTCATGGCCCAGTGTAGGGCTCAATAACTTTTAATTTCTTTTTCTGTCCCTGGAGTTCTTGACAAGGCATTGCCCTCTTCTACTCTCAAGAATGGGTTGTCATGTTCATGGGCACGAAAAGACATGTCTAAGAATGTTATGGCTGCTTTAATCACATTAATTAACAAGTGGAAACCAGGACTTCCCTGGTGGCTTAACGGGTTAGAACATAGCACTGCAAACTGATGGCAGCTGCTTCAGTGTGATTTCGATCCATGGCTTCGGAGATGACCCACATGGCACCGCAGACTTCTCATGACGTGCCCGCTGCTCCCCTCAGCAGTGTATTTCATTGATCTGCCTGTTCTATTACCCACTTTGACTCTGGTGAAGCCTCTCACTGCCCCTGTGCCTCTGGCCTGTACCCCAGTTCTGATGCATAAATAAATAAATATTTTTTTAAAAAAGTGGAAATAACCTAATGTCCATCAGCAGCAGAACAGATAGATTGCAGCATCACTGCTTAGAGGAAAGCTACTCAGCCAAGAAAAAGGAAGACTTAGTGCTGCAGGAGGATCCTGGATACCTTCAAAGGTCTCATAGTGAACAAATTGGATCAGGCATGTTCAGGTGAACAAAGAACAAGTGCTCTAGAATCCATTTACATAAAGTTCAAGAACAGCAAGCCAGTGGCGATACAGGTCAGAATAGTGGTTATCTCTGGGGAATGGGGTGGACTGGGAGAGGCTTGAGGGAGTTTCCTGGGGTGCTGGGAACACTCTGTGCTTGATCTAGGTGGTGTCACATATGCACAGATTCACTAAGCTGTACCCTTAAGATTTCTGCCAAGAATTGTAATCTTTACATCTCAATAAAACGTAAAATTTAAAAGCTAAGTTCTCAGGCAGCCAACGACCAGATCCTCTGTGGCTGCAGTGCCTGCCTGCCTTGTTCCCATGTTGCTCTGCTGTGTCAGGCCTGGGGTTGCTGGTGTGGCTGTCTTTCCAGGATATTTGTTAACTGTAAACGTGGAGCCCGGGACTCCCTGGGGGGAGGGAGGTGGGTGGGACTGGGAGTGTCAAGGCTGCCAGATGTTACAGAGATGACCCAACTTTGGGTGGGAATGATAGGTCCATTGGATCCCACTGTAATCTCCTGTGTCAAAGATCACTTGTGATAAATTCGTCACCAAAAAGCCCCTACTGGAGCATGGTCACCTGCTACTCAGCGTCTGCTATCTGCCAGGTTTGTGCTGAACACCTTTACCATTTCTCATTGTTGCCATTTCACAGACAAGGTGTGAGTAAATTCCCAAGGTGACAGAGGAAGTTCAGCAGAGGGAATTTGGCATGATAATCTCATCAGGCTGGGGCTCCCTGTGGCAGGCTGTCTCCCCCTTAGTGTGGACTCCGGGATTTCTGAGCAGGAGGTATTTAGGGGAGGAGCTTGTCACGAACTTGACTTTCACAGGACAGGCCCTGTTCTCTTGGAGTGGCTGGGAAAGGGCTGCGGACCTGACCGCCCTGCCCTTCTCACACTGACTCACCCCTCTGCTCAAGTCTCTCCCTGCTGGGTGCCCTAGTTGGGGGCCAAAGATCTGGGGGGCGAACAAAAGTGTTGAGGGAGGGTGTGGATCAGAGGAGCCGCCCTTTCTGCTGTGCTGGGATCCTTGCTGGAGGCACCATCCCGCCCTTCCTTCCTGGCCCTGCCCACCTGGAGTTAGGACACCAACTGAGGGAGATGCCAGCTCCCAGGTTCATGAGGAGCTGAGAACTGAACCCTGCCCTTTGCTGGGAGTACCAGCTCCGAAAGGGGCTCCATTTAAGGAGGTGGAGGGGGAGCATGTAGGCGGCCCTAGCACAGCCCATACCAGGTATTCTCACCCTGCTCACACCCTGTGGCAGGGGCTGGGTCATGTGCTGGGGGCAGCAGGTGTAATCAGAGCCGCGTGCTCCTGGCCTACCCTGTGACTATATTAAGTTCCGTGGCCAGCCTTCCCTCTCTCCCACCTCTGGGACTTCCCTCCTCCCTGGAGGGACCCTGCCCTACAGAAGAAA